ATGAAAGATTAGTTGAAGTGGTTTGTAATCCTTCTTCATCATCATGGCAATTTTTAAGATTTCGTGATGATAAACTACAACCAAATTTTTCTACTGTTGTTGATAAAATACTACAAAGTATCAAAGATGGTGTTGATAAAGAAACACTGATTCTACAATCAAATAAAATACGTGATTCTTGGAAGAGAAGAGAACAAGAAAGAAAACAACGAGTAAATTACAACACATAGAATATGTGATTCTTAGAAATAGAATATAAAAGAAATCAACTAATAAATTATAACACATAAATATACGATTCTCAAAAGAGAAGAGAGCCAGAAAAACTCAACAACTAAATTATAACATTGTTTATTAATTATTGTTGTTATTATTGCTGAAAAAAAAGGGTGGAACTATTATTATTATAGATATTTTTTAGAATAAAGTCTAATTTAAATGTTCACGATATTTGTTTGTAATCTATTATACTATCGTTATCATCATTGTAATTATGCTTCATCTTGATCATCATCCTCATCTTTTTCTTTATATTCTAATTTTTTTTCTTGATAAACCTTTAAATCTGAAATTTCATGTTGAACATTCCAATTGAATTGATTCACTAATCAATTCGCTCCATTTATTATCTAATGATATTTTGGATTCTATTGATACTATCTTTGATAGCTGGGAAGAGGCTTTTTAATTCTTCTTTTGTTAGTTAAAACGCATTTGTATGAGGTTCCTTGGTGGTAGTTACTAATAAATGACCCTTAAAGTTTGGATGCTGACTTGTAATTGAGGAAAATTTTCATTTAGGAAAATTACCTGGATGTTCAACAACTTTATACAAAAATTCTTCTTAATAACCATAGTAAACATAGAACCAACTTCTAGTTTCAGGCAGTTACCTATCAATGAATGTGCCCTAAGTTTGCTTTTATCTAAATTTACATGTAAGAATTACTTCAAATAATTTTTTTTGTTCAATAACAATTATTAAATTTATACAGTATATTTACTTTTTTTTTACAATATAATATCAATTGATTGTTTTTATTTTTATGGCATTTTTACATAGTAGATTGCAAATTTTCGGCAAATTTCAATACGCAAACCTGTTACTATCTAATGATATTTCAGGGTCCTATTTTTACAGTCAAACATTCTCACAGCGGACTATAATTAGTAACCTTGCCACAGCAGACTATAATTAGTAATCTTGCCACAATGAATTTTAAAATAAAATTTTCTAATGTGTCCGTTCATCCGCTGTGACAAGGTTTGACTGTGTTATCATTTTTTTAAATAAATTGTAAAATAGTGTTCCATGTCGCAATCCAAAAAAGGAAACCAAAGTGGTCGCAAAGGTGGTTGCAACCA